TGAACTTGCTCCTGAAGGCACCATTATGAGTGGATGTGGGGAGGACTTGCTTTCTGATAGGGGAGGCTACTCCTTTTGCTTTCAAATAGTTGCAGAGAGTGAAAGTAAATATGTTGGCCATCCTCTGGGAGCGTGCACGGTCTCCTGAGCAACTTTGGCAATGCTCCCAATGATGTCTCAGTGGCATTGATGAAATGTCAGCTTTTATCAAGAGCTTTAGACCCCAGACAGACTGCTTTGGTCACTTCAGCTTGCACCAAAGCAATGAAGATCCGACAAAGTTTCTTTCTGATTTGAGGTGTACTGATGGTAACCAGGTCTCTCTCCATTTCCCAGGCGTTCGCCCAGAGCGTCTGCCGGTGTTTGACGAGGAATGCTGGCAGCTGATGGAAGCCTGCTGGGACGGAGACTCCTCCCAGCGCCCTCTCTTGGGGATTGTTCAACCTATGCTGCAGGGGATCATGGACAGGCTTTGCAAGTCAAGCTCTGAGCACCCAAATAAAGGGTTGGATGACTCTACTTGAAAAGGAAGCACAGAAGAAATTTTAGTTGTGGGAGAATTCTGAACCCCTAACTCTGGAGATGGCTTCTTCAGATGTAGCTCTCTGTGGCTAACATGAGTGGGACAGGTAATAGCAACCAGAAGATTGCTCACAGAGGTGAGACCTCGGGGATATTCCATCTTGAATAGTGCCCAGAGAAATCTCCCCCGGTACACCCCATTGATGCTAGTTACCCCGCTGCAGCCTTTATTATGGAGTTGTGCAAATAAGATAGAAAATCCACACCCTTGAACTGAAAGGGATTTTTGCCGATCCCACACAAATACCAATCAAAGAAAAACATCTTGTGTGTTCCAGGTAGCACCTGTGTTCCTAGGAGTTGATCACAACAGTCTTTACTCAGTAAAGTAAAACTCTTCCCATTAACTGATGGTCCTTGGTGGCCTTTGGTCCACACGTAACTATCCCAATCACTTATTTCGATTGGCACCAATTACAGTGCGGTCGGAGAGGAAAGAGAAAACAGAGGCTCTAGGCTAGAAAGTGTTCAGAAGCTAAGAGTGTCTATCTGTATTAGCGTCTTGCAACACTCAAAATGTTTACATTGACAGGAGCAAAGCTTCCATGTTTTACCTAAGGGGGTTTATCTACTGTTCCACTGCAGTGCAAATACCCCAGGTTATAAGCTATTTATCTCTTATGTACCCTTCACCTCTTACTTACGTAAACAAGCTCTTTTCTGGTAGTTTCGCTTCATAATAGTTATTTGAATGTCTGAAGAAACCTGACCTTTCTTTAACGGTCTTCTGGTAAAATGGAAGACTGCTCAGAGATTACATATTGTAATACCGAAACAAAGTCATTACAACTAATGACTATCCATGGGGAAAATGCCAATTCATTTTAATTAAATTTGGTTTTTGAATTAGTTGTAAAGGCAATGACAGTTTTAAATCGTGCTAACTATGACAGACATATTTTTTTAAAAAAATAAGGTTTCTTCAGCTTTTTTAATGTCACATGCTTGGTGAGAATGTACTCGAGGGAAAACAGGTCATTCGTTCTTCTTCAGTAGCAGTGTATTGTGGCTGTGTCCGTTCATCTGATCGTTTCACTCTGGGATCTTTAATTTGGCTGTATTGAAAAGAAGAAAACATGGGGGGGTAGGGGGGAATCCTTCTCAAGGAAGGTAGGGGCTGCTGGTATGGGTCCTGCTGCCCTTCCCAAGAGGGCTGCTTCCAAAATAATTTCCTTTCCCCTTGCCTTTTGCATTTCTGGGGCGAGGTTGGTTGATCTTTAATGTAATATACCTGTGGGGTGGAGGCTGAAATAGAAAACGCACCTTGTTTACTACATGAGGAAATACTGAGTTGGCAAGTTCTCCCTGGGTTTATTCTTCTTCCCAGCTGCAGGGGATGGGCACGCAATGGCTTTGTTTCCCAGGAAAGCTAGCATGCTGCATCCAGAGTAGTGTAGGCATGTGGAATTACTGCACCTCGTTGCTGGAATTTATTGGCTAGTAGACAGCAAAATTACAACCGATAGTCTGCCTGTTAAACAGCTTGAACAAAGGAAAGGGATACATAACCCTGCAGTATTAGTTTAGTTTAAATCTTCCTTTCTTTGTGCAATAAACAGAAATAATGCTTTTTTTTTATATATATAAAAAACTTTTTTTATTTACCTGCACGTGTGGGCATTTTTCTGGTCTGTGATGGCATTAACAGTATGGTTCTATACAGATACAGCCTCACCAGCTGAAAGTGCAGCAACCAAGAACCACATGCGCAGAAGAACGAATACTTTTCTAAAGTAGAATCGTTAGGCGTTTCACTGCCTTGGTGCACGCTCACGCCACCTATGACACTAACAGTATTAACTCTGTTCTACTGTGCGTGGTGGTTAGTAACCTTATTTAAAACTAGGAGAGTCAAAGTCAGTCTCATGAAATTAATAGAGGTAGCTTATGTAAATATAAATGTATGAATAAAATTTAAAACTCTGTATATGCAATTCCAGAAATGTCTTGTATAGCTTTTCCTCTGTAGCCATCTCCAGACACTTATCTGATGCCTTTTTATTGTTGTTTGTAGCTACCTTGATGTCTTGTTTCCAGTTGGTTTGTCTTTTTGCGTATGCGGCATTGTAGATCTGCAGGTTTTCCCAAACTCGGTACCGCTGCTTCTCTACATTTTTTTTTTTCCTTTGGGTATAAAGTCTGCCTGACTGAACTTATTCTGAGATATTTCACACACCCTGTGTATCTTTAAAACTAGTGTTCTCGCCCCCACCCAAGGAAAACAGGGAGAATTACTTTATTGAGAGATTTCACAGACTGTAAAGTGAAAGTGGTACCAAACTCAAACACCTCTGAGCCTGGTGCAGTGAGTGTGAGCTGAGCAGGTATTCTTCTCCCAGATAAGGTTACCGTTACCGCCTCAATCTACTGAAGATGTTTGTTACAGTATGTTTTTTATGTATAAAAGAGTCCTTAACTTGTGCATTGTACAATGTACCACATGTGACCAGGTGGTGGCCTGGCTCCTGCTGTACGTGGACACAAACCAGTGTGTGCTGTTCCATAATGTGATCATTGCCACTTAAAACAAGGTAAATTGCAGAGGCTGAGGCTGACTTCTGTGAACCGTGAGGAGTAAACCTCCCCTCTCCAGTCCTGTAGGTTTAAAGTGATTTTGGAAAAAAGCTTTGTGTACAAAGGTGTGAGGTTTACACGCCGCTGTGGCTGAGGTGGCTCTGCTAGAAGAGTCGCTGGTCAGCGCAATGTTGAAGTACAACCTGAGAGCTGTGCAGAGCTTGCTCTGCAATTCAGGCTCCTTCACCCTACACTTGGTGGGACAAGCTGGGAGAAAATGCCCTCGTGCCACAGGGGCTGAGGAATGGGCTGGAGGGCTGCGGCAGCCTGGCGGAGTGACGGTGGGTCTTGCTGCTGGACCAGAAGCCTGCAGCACACTTACTGTGTGGCTTGAAGCAGCAGATACTTACCTTAAGTCAGAGGAATGCCTTGTTTTAGGATGGAAAAGCAGATGTGGTGTTTATAAGGAGGCTGGCCAGGCTTTCCCCCCCCCCCCCCCCCCCCACAGGGAGCCTGCACTGTCCTGGTGCGGTGTCTGGGGATGGGGTGTGCAGCCTCGTGCTTTCAGCCCTGCTAATTTTAGCTTAAATAAGTTATACAAGTAACTTCTTTCCCCGCCACCCCCCACCCTAAAGCTTTTCAGGAGAAAGCGTCCCTTTATCTGTTTCAACTTCCCTCGGGGCTTAACAATAAAATAGCACTACATGTTCTTACAGTGGCTTCGTGTGCTTGGCTGGGGGGGAACATGAAGTGAGCTTACTGAGCGCCTACAAGAGAGTGGGATAATGTCACCCCTTGTATTTTGTCACAGAATGGTTTGGGTTGAGAGAGATTTTGAAGACCACCCAGTGCCACCCCCTGCCCTGGGCAGGGCCACCTCCCCCCAGCCCAGGTTG